TTTACTTTCCTTTGGTTCAGTCTCTCCTAGCCTATGGCATCCTTGGATGGGGAGGAGTATACGATTCACATCTAGAAAAACTAAACGTCTCACAGAGATGGATATTAAGAATCATATACAAAAAAAAATCCGTTACCCCTTTGACAAACTATATGAGATAAGTCAAGTATGCGATATAAGGCAGTTATATGGACAAAAACTTCTCATCTATATGTTCTCAAACAAAGATTTAATATGCCCACCAGAATATTCTTACCAGACAAGAACTAAAAATACCAGAACACAAGTTCCTAAGTGCAATAAAACTATCGGACAACATACTTTCTATTATTTGGGTCCTAAATTTTATAATATGATACCAGAAGAATTACAGAATATTGTAAAATCGTATTTGAAGAAAAAAACTGTTAAACTAAAAATAAAAACATGGATTCTTGAAACAGGAAGAGGTATATTTAGTAAACTGATAAAAACCATATTTGAAAAAAAAAACCAGAACCTCCTAATTTATCAAAAAAATGTTTAAGATACTAACCAGAATACACGTTCAATGTGGGAATATGGGATTACCTGATTATAAAAATAAAATAAACCAGATATACCAAATAATTATGTTATATGTATGTAGGTGTGTATATTAATGTGTATATATGTATTAATTTTTTGTTTTTTTTATGCGGAGTTATAGTATATTTAGCACGCTAAGTAAACTCACGTACAAGAAGTGAATAATGTAAGTTATTCACCACTTCAGTGAGATCTATCATGTTTATTTGTATTTTGTGAATTTGATTCATTTCTAAAACTTATCAAAATAAACATTATTATTATTATTATTATTATTATGTAGTTGGGTGTAATCTGAAGAACAGTGTACGAATAAATAAATAAATATAAAATGAAAATACCCCCAAGAAAACATCATTGTAACATCCTGGTCTGCTGATCTTCCAAAATTCGTGAGCTACATCTGATGTGCTAATAAATGAAGGGTTAATTTGCTATCGGGTGTTTTATTGCGTCCACAGTTTTCATAATTGCTTCCGCATAAACCGAAAGCTGCTTGCTGAAACTTTCTAACGAGTTGGTCTTTTGTGAACTCCAAACTTCATGCACGACTGAAATTCTTGTGAAGTTGAAGCGAACGGGACGAAAGTAATTTAGGCAGAACAGTGGAGTAGTAATTCCTTTCCTTTGCTGGTTACAGCGCTACGTACACCAAAAGTGTTTTGCAGTCTTCCTTCATTTGGCCAAAAAATTCAACACAATTTCTGGTGATGAACTTTCAAGGCGGGACAGTAGCCTGGTGAGTTGACGTGTGTGGTTAGCTTCACTCACTCAATCGATCGATGTACGAACCGGTGGTTCGAACCGTAAGGCTGGACGATCAATTTTCACTTTCTCTCGGCTAACCCGTGTTAGCAATCACACGTACGAATGCGAGACCTTATGCCCAAAAACTTTCACTTTGAAGACACAAATTTATTAGAGCTGAAAGAAATCTTGCAAGAAAATGAAAACAACAATGCAACAGGCATTGATGAAATTTCAGTGAAAATTTCAAATAACCTTCCCGATTCTGCTTTGAATACACTAGTGATGGCTATAAATAAATCCTTTTTCTTTGTAAATTTCCCTCCGTGTCTAAAAACAGCTGTTGTAATTTCTATTTTCAAAAGTGGTAATGCAGATAATCCAAATAACTTCAGACCTATCTCCATGCTCTCACCATTCTCAAAAATCATAGAAAAAATGGTGAAAAAAAGGGTATTAGCTTTTCTTTATGAATACAATATATTAACCAACTGTAAATTTGGCTTTCAGAAGGCAAAAGGCACAAATGATGCAATCTTTTCCTTTCTTGAACATGTCTACACACATCTCAACAATGGTGAGGTCGTAGCTGCAGTAATCTGCGATTTCTCCAAAGCGTTTGATTGTGTAAATCATGAACTTCTTTTGCAAAAGTTGAACTACTATGGCTTGAGAGGAGTGTGTAATGACTGGTTCAGGCCTTACTTAAGCGATAGAAAACAGTCAGCAAGATCAAACGTAAAACTATTACACACGAGGGATATCTTATGAGGTGTACCACAAGGATCAATACTAGGCCCGATTCTTTTACTCATTTATGTAAATGACCTGATGACTCTCTCAATTCAAGGAATTTTTACCATCTTTGCGGATAACACCACGCTCCTTTGGCATGGAAAAAATACTTCTAATATGAAAGAAACTATCTCTAGTGAGTTGTGGAAAAATGGTTTGACGCAATTTACTTGTGCTTTAATATTGAAAATACAAACCTACTCACCTTCAGCTGTAATATTAACAATGTATACTTGAATGGAGAAATTCTTGAGAATAAAAAGCAATCCAAATTCCTGGGAATCTTCATGGATAACAAATTAAAATTTGAACAACATATTTCAGCTTTGAATAAAAAATTGGCATCAGGATATCAATCAGGTATGTCATTCCCTGATTGAGTCCCACTTGAGATATGGTGTTGCCTTCTGGGGATTTTGCAGTCAACAACTTTTTCATTCAGTGTTTGTTCTGCAAAAGCGAGCGGTTAGATACTTATGCAAAGTGGGAGTACGTGAGTCATGCAGAACATTACTTTTGAGAGAAAGAATTCTCTCTCAATTACTTGTATTTTCGTACTTGAAACTGTTTGCCTCATTTACAAAAAACATAACATGGTTGGAACTCAGGACCCTACAAATTACATAATCCGGCAAGTAACTGAGAATAAAATACATTTTCCTGTAACAGAAACAAGTCAGACAAAGTATTCTTCAATTTTTGAAAGTATAAAGCTGTATAATCACATACCTTACGAAATTAGGAAGGAAAAAAGCTATAAAAAGTTCAGAAATCTTGTTGAAGATGCCCTTGCAACTGAAGCGTACTACAATCTTGATAAATATCACAATGGAACTTTGCTGTGATTTAATATAGGTTTTTTTTTTGTTGTTTATATTGACACCTATAATTCAAATTATATTTTATACTGGGATATATATTATTTTATTGCCATGCCACGTGAACTTATGTTCAAATGAAGAATATTTGATTTATTGAATAAAATTAAAAAGGTGATGTTCTAGAAGAACTATATAAACGTGAATATAATTGTTCAGTATAGTTTAAATTGCATGACAAATCAGTATAAATAATTGGATAATACTGTATTCTTCCACTAGACCATCCAATAGTCAAACAAGCTCCAGCTTCAAATTGTTGAAGAAAACTTATTGTACTTGGTTGTTCTTCGGCAATTCCTATTAGCAGAGAACTAGATATCAACTGCAATGTTGGATGTATGACAATATTGAAAACAGCCACCAAGTTTGTATCTTGAAATAGGACAGCCAGGTGCTTTCCCTTGGGATCACTTTCCAGACATTGAACCAAACCACCGACAGTCACGCCATCTTTCTCAATTTTACTAGTTTCAAACAAAGGCAAAGCTTGATTAGATGAACTGTCTGTATCAGATTCAGCAGGCTTCTTTGAAGAACTTGTCTTATCTGGTTCCACGTTCCACACAAGGATAGTATTATCGCAGGCAGCAGCACTTACCAATTTATCACCTTTAGAAGACCAGGATATGCTCATAAGAGGTCTGTGGTCATCTCTAGAAAAAAATGAGGGCATTACTGACAAATGCCCGAGTTACCAGCGAATTTGCATCCATATCCCAAATAATTATTTCATTTTCATGGCCAACCGCTATTTCCGTATTTGATAGTGGTCTCCAAGCAATGCTAGTGATATGTTTCTATTGTTTACATCTCAACAGTGGTGTTATAATACTACTATCACCACAAAAAATTCTAACACTATCATCGCAACAGCTACTTTCGTTTCGTAGAGATGCCATGCTATGCATCTAATTGTGAAGCTTTGCCAATGTCTTGTTTGAGAAAATTCTTTAATAATAACAAGACCACTATACTTTGAATTAGGGTTCAAAACCTGTCTCACTTTTCTAATGTACTTCAAAACATCCAGTATTAATACAGCACTAGATGATATGAGTAATTGGTTAAGTGAAGAAGCTGTATGTAAAGCTTCAACGAATTCTTGTTCACAATAAACCTGAGTTAGTTGCTTTAAAAATGATATATTAACAGGTAAAAATAAAGCCTTGCCTTCATCACCTGAACTCAAGAGATGAAGTAAATCTCTAGTAATGTAAACTTTCGGGTGGTTATCATCAGTGGTCATAAAGGCGCTAACATTCGCATAATCGTGGTTCTTAGAAAGAACACGTCCGTTAATTTCACAAAAAGATATCTCATCGTCATTAGGAAGATCAAAATCATGTAAATTTCTCATTTTCAACATTACTATCTTACGAGTGTTAAAATTTTTGAATTTTTTCAAATAGAATTAATAGAACATTGAGATTTGGTTAAATTTTTTTCAAATTGTATATATTTGTTATTTACATCTTTTGAAAGGGACTATACAAACTATTTTGTCTACAAATTGTTTCTGTGTATTTGTGTTTTTGAATTGTTTCTTTTCTCTTATTCTTTGAAGTGCTATATATATCAGATTTTTCAACAAGCTTTGTCGACAAGATAGTATTTTCTTGAACAATGAAGTATATGTCTATTCTATTCTATTCTAATTATATAAGTATTCAACACATTTCAACATTTAATTCAAATATTACAATAATTGGATACAGCTCTGCTTATACGTCAAATTTATTCTGTTTTTTATTGACACTATGAAGGGATTTCGATAAAAACGTCAGTATAATCAAAAACAACCGTAAGTCTGCCAATAATACAGATATTTTGAAGATGATATAATCAAAAACCGTTGATGTCTCAACGCGGAAAATGGTATATTTTTCAAAAGATACCTTCAGGGATGTGTTCAGACGAATATTTTTGTCCAACTGTTTCCGAGAAAAGGTAGCATAATTATTTACTATTTATCGAAAACTCATTAATTTATAAAATGATTTTTGTTTTCAGGAGTAGCCATCAAACAAGTGAAAGGAGGATATCTGCTGAGATACCGACGTGAGTAAAATAATTATTGCACACCTTTCATGAATAGATGAATTTTTATATATACAACGAAAATAGAGCTCCAAAATCTTTGGAGCTGACCCAGCTGAAAATATTTTGGCGTCCCTGAGGCTCTGTTTTACTACTTTTGATTTTCTTATGTGTGGGATGAGTGTAGCGGGATTTGATTTCAGTATTCCAGACATTCCATTGATAATATTTGAGTTTTTGATGGAATAGATATACTTGTCGGGAATCGAACTTCTCGAAAACTCCTCGTATCCATACATGTAGGCTCTCATTTGCCACAGCGACCCTCTCATGGTCCCATCAACTCCACGACAGTGCCAATCTCCTCACACGATACGGCTGTTCAAGCACGTTGTTCATCGTGTCCTCATATTGAGTTTGCATATCGAACGAGCTCTCAGAAAATCTATTCATTGCATGTACAGCGAGTCAGGTTTGATCCAGAGGGCTTAAAAACGGGGGCGAAACGTTCTGGCATAATTGGTAGACGATCCTTGAGCAAATTTACTTTGTAACTTGATTTAATAGCACGAAAGCTTTCTGAGAAGTATACTGCTTTTTCATTTTTCCGTTAAAAACCGAATCTCCACGGCGGAATTCTTATGAGAAATCAGAAAATACACAATCATTTTACACTTTATTCACATTTGAATGAATAAACATTGAGTTCCAGTTTCACATCAGCTCTGGCTTTATTAGACATTATGAACTATGACTCTCGCAGATGTAGGAAAAATGAGCTGGTTTTGAAAATGAACTGTATTGAAAATAAGCTTTGTGAAAAATGAGCTACATTGATAGCAATAAGAACAATAATCTTCCAATTTGGTATATAAGCTGCAAATTCCTCAAACATTGATCCATTTTCTCCCATGTTTTTCAATAACGTGGAAAACGTGGGAAAACCTCACAGAAAGTATTAGAAAATTGTGACATCTCTTTTTTTTTGTAATTGGTGCTTCATTCATTCAGATAATGGATTTCCAAAAATTTTGATGAAGGAGCTTTGTCACTCGTTTATAGATACTTCCACGAGAGGTGTTCAAGTGACTTGATTCCATCAAGAGCGGTACATATCAGAAATATGCGAGCAAACGTTCACCAGATTTTGATAGAAAACGCTTGTCCTCCTGCTAGAATAAAGATTTCTAGTATAATTGTGTAGATCCTCACAAATTTCTTTGTTGCAGATATTGGATGTTCGGAATTCGAAACTTTGACTAACTTCATATTGTAAAATACTCAAAACTGTGAATCTTGAGAAGTTCATACTGAAGTGACTTGGTGTAGAATCAACGATGATGTTGATCTTATGTTCATTTATGAGATAGTACTGCTTCCTTTTAACTTTGATGAATGTTATCAATTTGTTTCTGGCGCTCGTTTCATCGTTAGATTATGCTTTTCAAGCATGCATTCTCACATACCTTGTTGCAGATTGAAATAGCTTCACCATCTCTAGTTGGTTTCTTATAGTCCACTTCAATTCTGTCTCCTCAGCTCAGGCAAAAAACTTTGAGGATCAACTATATGATCCTTGATTGGATATTGTTGGATAAGCAGGCTTGCCCTATTCAGGTCCTCCATGTATTGGGATTTTTTTGAGAATGTACTACTTGCTTGCCTGCTTGTATCCCTTGCCAACATGATGATAAGGATAATATAGGATAAGCTGACACATCATTATATAGAATTCACACGTCTCTATCGATCAATGTATACGACGACACACTGGAATAAATATTTATTGAGATAAGAAGCTACAAAAATACACGATATGAAACTTTCAAAACAATCTCTTCAAAATGAACATTCAACATCAAATACATGACTAACTTCCAACCTCTATTCGTTTCGAAAATGGCCAAATACATTGGTTTCCGATATGCTTCCAATATGTCACCCTGGTGATATATGTGTCCATCATCTGTTGAACTGATAATACATTTGTCTTTCGACAAATATCGTGACGTGTGTGCACTTTTCCACAAATTTTTGGTATAGAAAATTCTTGCATCATACAAGCTACTGCCGGAAGTACTAGAATGTTCAAACAAGACATTATGCCTCCAACTATCAACAACGTGATGCCTCATAGAGTACTGTTCCCGAGTAGACAGGACTTGGTCCTTCAGTAGAAGGAAATATTGAGAGGAGATAGTCGTTGGTTTACAGATGGATCAAAAACACTTCCAGGTTCTGGTGCAGGTGTTTTCAGTTGCAGACCCAGAACAGAGATATCAACCTGACTAGGGTCCTATGCGACATTCTTTCAAGCGGAAATAAATGCCACTGAACCCTGTGTGGAGAGATTGATAGAATACAAACCGATACACAATTCAATACAAATATTCTCGAACAGTCAAGCGGCGTTGAAAGCTCTTGACTTGTACCAAGCAACATCTAAATTGGTTACAAATTGCCAGAAATGACCCTCCTCAATAGGAAGACTCAACAAATCGTCTCTGGTCGCTGGGTTTATTTTGTCGAGAATGAATAGGTGTGAGCCACAATAAACCCTTGCGAGTTGCTATGAAGGGACGAACAGATTCACTCACTCCTGACTCGACCTAACCCAACCTCATACAAGAGGGATTTGAACTCTTTGAGTATTCATTGGGTTGTATAACAAAATATATATTTTTTATTTTTCATGAGTATATGCAATGAAATTTGGGTATGTTTGAAGACGATTGACAGTGATTCATGATGAATTTCATCAGTTCGGACTTTCATAGTCTGATATTGTATAAAATGATTTGAAATCCCTGAAATAACTAAAAAATAAGAAATGGTTCTTATGGAGATTCTGTGAAACATGTTCTTTCTTACGAATCAGTAGATAGTTGCCCTGAAAATCTAGAGAAGAAAATTGGATTGGATAATTTAGGAAACACTTGCTACATGAATAGCATTCTACAAGTGTTGTTCATGACGAAGAATTTCAAGAACGAAATTTTAATGATGAACGGGAATGTTTCCTACTTATTCATCAAACTCAAACACCTGTTTATGCAGCTGCAGTTTCGTAAGAAGGTATCATCTTTCCCTCCATCCGATTTCCTGGAGTCTTTGAAGTCCACTAGATACTCGTAAGGACAACAAGAGGATTGTTCCGAATTCTTGGGGTTCTGTTGAATACTCTTCGTGAGCAAAACAATAGCAAAATCAATACTCCTGACCGCTCTGGACTGAATGATTCCATACTGCCCATCTCGTCTTATGTTTGTAAATCTTTTGCTGGAAAAATCCTCACTTGTTTACTTTGTGGTGACTGTTCAAGAAGTACCGAAAACTTATGTGAATTTATGGAACTTCATCTAGCTTTTCCTAATATGACTAATAACCAGTCCGTGCAAAGCTTATTGTTAAATCATCTGAAAATGGAATATTTAACAGGTGATGATCGACTGTATTGTCAAACATGCGCCAAACTAACTGAATGTTATGAGGAAACAAGTATAGCTGAGGCTCCAGTCAATCTAATAATAACACTGATGATTTTCAAACAAGACTCAACCTCTAACGGAAGCAAGAAACTCTTTGGAAGGTTCGAAATAGATGAACATTTTAACCTAGCAGACCACTATTATAATATTCATGCAGTCATTGTTCACTGTGGTTCTGGCGTTGAATTTCGTGATTATTACGCCTTGGTCAAAGAAGAAACGGACTGGTTTAAGTTTGACGATAGTCGTGTCATGAAGTGTTCTGGCGATGCATTGAATTCATTGGAGCCTCTGGAGATACCCTACATTTTGTTTTATAAGAGAGAGGACATTGTTAGATCAAGATCTTCAGATGATGTGGTGCTGCAGGTTTTTCCGGGTTTTCCTGCAGCTGAAAAAGCAAATGCGCCACTGGAATCAATGAAGTCGCCCCGGAGTGCCAATTAATTTTTATTGTTGTTCTTATTTTATTTTTATCGTTGTTTCGAAAAAATTTAAAACTAAAAAAAAACAAGAATTAAAAATTAAAGAAGAAGAATACAAATGGATAGCTGAAAAAACAATCATATTGAGCAAAAAAAAAACTTGAAATGAACTAATAGTGAAATAAAATATAAGTAAAATTGAACGAATTGAACAAAAAATAAATAAAATTGAATTAAAAAGATTCCAAGCCAAATTAATTCACGACGTTTCGAATGTTAGTATCACCAATCGTCTTCGGGTGATTCATAGGTCATTTGAGTAGTTTCACTTATCTCTGCTTTCCTTTTTCCGCTTCACAGGTTTAGTGGAAGATGACAGTTTGGCGGGAGTTAGCCATTTTTCGCTTAATGAAATTGGCCCGAAATCTCTTATTTTTTTAATTTTATTTTATTCATTTTTGTTCAATTTGTACAATTTTACTTGTATTTTATTTCACTATTATTTCATTTCAGGTTTTTTTGCTTGATATAATTGGTTATTTCAGCTATTCATTTTTATTCTTCTTCTTTAATTTTCAATTCTACTTTTTTTCAGTTATTTCAGTGATTTCAAATCATTGTATATAACATCAGACAATGGAAGTCCGAACTAATGAAATTTGGGTACTTATAATTTGATTTGAAATACATGCGTCTTTGTGACAAAAACATTTCGAAAACACTCCTAATCAGAATATCCATGTTTCGATATTTAGAATATTCCCCAATGAAAACATTTTTTCTCGGAAACCAGATTTTTTTCGGATCATTATAGCTTTCATCCGATCCAATCAACATCAAATACATTCAGTCAGCCACGTGACTCCATTACTGTTCCGCTTTGTACATTATTTCGTTCGGCTCTCATGACTTGGAAAATGTGACTCGCTGTGATAAACAAAAACACATTGAACAATGGACTGATCTGCACTCGGCGTGAACAACGCACCGCTTCTACTGAAATTATTTCAATTTACCTCAATTACCCCACGTGGAATGCAGGTGAGAGCAATGTTTTTGACAGGTTTCATTTGAAGGTAATTGGAAATGTCGAGTGTAGCTATCGATG